ACGGGCAAGACAGATCCCAAGGATTCCTCTGCAACACAGCTCCTCCACCCCTGACATTAGTGACACTACAGATCACCAGACTTCATGTACATTTTGTCCCCTATACAGGGGATTCAGATTCTTTTCATTCAAGCATTTGGTTTCTGAATTCTCTCAAGCCACTCACAGACTGCCTCAGTATTTGCTCATGCTGCAACAGTTCAATCTCCTCTGCTAAGATTGGACCTCAGCATCTACTTGAGTGTAATTCCAGCTCTTTCATAAACAGAGAACCTCACTAAGCTGAAACTACCTGTAGGAGTTTGTCCAAACTCCAATACTTCTCAGTTGAGCCAAACAAAGAGAGTGCTGTTGAGCTTCCTTCACCACCATCCATTAAGTCAAAAAAGAGAGTGTTTTCCAGGGCTTCTTACAAGTCCCAAAAACTCCAACTCTAGTTGTATCTATCAGCACTCATGACTTCGGAGAATCCCAATTGCAACAGCAGCATCTTTTCAAGATGAAGCTTCTTCCCCTGTTACTGCCCACTCGATCAGGACACACAAGCTCCCGGTCATTACCATCCTGGTCCGATGACCTGCCTTTTCTAAAATAAAAAAAGGCCCACAGCACAGGCTTGCTGTTCCCTCTAAGATGGCCATGTCTTTCAGCTATTTAAATAAAAGTCAGAGCACGTGCAGCACATCATGCTGCCACATAAGATGGGCATGTGCCAGACCACATGGTCTCCACTTGCAATGGAACCCAAAACGTGTACAGGTTTCATCACAATGCCAGTGTTCAATGCTCATTCAAAGGTGCCAGATACACAGCACAGTTAACAGACCATACTACATCAAATAGAGCATAAAGCACAAAATCAAGCACATTATGCTAAACTTATATAAAACACTAGTTTGGTTTCAACTGAAGTACAGGATCCTGTTCCGAGTGCTACTTGTTAGAGAAAATGTGAAGGCATTAAAGAGATTGCATATAATAGTTCATGGAATGAGGAACTCTTCAGTTACATAGTTGGGATTGTTTTACTTGAAGATGAGCAGGTTGAGAGGAACTTTGATACAGGTATTCAAAATTATGACGACCAGCACAGAGGAAAAGCTGTTCCCACCTGTGGAAGGATTGGGAATGAGAGGTCAAAAGATTCAAAAAAGCTACTTGGCAAAGAAGAAATGGGAACAACAAGCAGTTAAGATTTGGAATGCACTGGCAGTCAAATTCAAAATGAGGCCAGTGAAACACGATGAGCCTAATGGCCTTCCCATATTGTGTTTGTGATTATACAGATCTGCAGAGAGCCCTAGGAGTGTAAATACCCAAACTTCTGAATGTGGTGGGATAGGTTGGCATGACTGTTTGAACAAAAGAAATGGCATCTCTGGCTTTAGTAAGAGATGCATAGTGTATAAGAGCAGGTGGCTATGGTAAACCTTCATAAAAGTCACCAATTAGGCCCACCTGACATATGAATGCCAATTTTGAACACTACAGTTCAAGCAGCATTCAAATCCTTAGACAGCATGTAGAAAGCATTCATGAGAATAGAAGCAGAGATGAGGGATGAGGGATTTCAGTTATGGAGAGTTAGGGCTAATGTCCTTACAGCAAAGGAGAGGAAGAGGTTTGAAAGAAGCATTCAAAATTCTCCATGATTTTGAAAGTGAATAAAGAGAAACTATTTCCAGTAAAAAGGGCCTGTAACCAGAGGACACAGATCTACAGTGGTCAACAAAACAAAGGCAAACTTTTCTTTCCTCCCAGTGAGTTGTGACCTGCAATTCTATCATTTTAACGTTTTAATGAGCTTGCTTGCCAATTACTCTCTCAAGCTTTAACACTGGGTGTTCAGGATGCCCAGGTCTCAGTAAAACCGATGGCTGAAGGGACAAGGATTGTTGGATGGAACAGATGAGTGCCTTTTCAGCACTGGTTGCATAGCATACATAGCATGACTTTCCTGCAGCATATCATCTTATCTCATTAACCTCTACATCACCACTCCCCTCAAAATCATTTTCTCCATGTCTTCCCCCAGAAGAAAATAATCAAGCCAGGATTTCTACAAAATACAAGATAAAGCATGTGAGCCAATCACATACACTCTAGCACCTTACCGGACATATAGATCTGCATGGTATTTTTTTCCATGTAAAGTTCCTAGCAGTGTTGGGTTTTCACCATTTCTGAAGTTGAGTGTAGCATCATACACAGCTGGAACTGGAGAAATCATTTAGAGATTGTGAACATCACAATATAATCAAATTATAATACATTTCATGACTAGGTTATGATCAAATAAAACCAGTAATAACTACAGGTCTCAGAAGTAGTAAAAGAAAAGAATGAAGGGCTATGTTATAATTAGGATTTTTTTGGTTTTGAGGCTATGATATGTCTTCTGATTAAAGATACTTTATGCTACAATGTTTCCACAATACATTTTCAAAGGTTGCAGCAATTTAGTCTTAAAAAGCCCCCACACATTTGGTATATATTGAGGGCTCATCATGTTGGAGATAAAAATCTGATCTTTTACTTTAGAGAAATTGGGAGATAGGGTATTTCCTAACATCAAGATTCTGCCTGCTGAGTGGTGTGGCGATGCCAAGCTGGAATCTTCTCCAGCAGGTCCAAAGCAGCGACAGAAGCCAGATGACCCTCTTCTATCTTAACTGCTCATAAAGTTTACTAATACAAACAAGCTCATAGCCCCCTTGACAGACGTGTCAGCCTTGGTCAACCCAACTTCAGATAGTGGAGGTTCTGAAATGCCCGCTTTTACAACAGAGCTCACAATGTTAGAACAGCTGGTGTGCTGGCATTTCAAATTTTTACTGACAGGAATGGTAGCAGTAATTCTGGAATTGGGTTCCACACATGATTTTTAAAATAATCATATGCCACTAGTTGGCCCCCATGTTACATCAGGCAAATCCAGCTGAAAGACTCAAGAGAATGAAGGGCTATGTTATAATTAGGATTTTTTTGGTTTTGAGGCTATGTTGTCTGATTAAAAGATACTTTACGCTACAATGTTTCCACAATACATTTTCAAAGGTTGCAGCAAAATATCTCGGAGGCTAACTTTCATTCAGCCACGCAGCATAGGAGCATTCAATGCTCCTTTTTCTGAGTTGGCAAGATAGTCAACATGGCTTGCAAGAAGTCAGTTAGAAATTTCTAGACAGATATTTCACCATTTCAACAGCAAGTTTCATATGCAATCTTAACAACTGCTTGGCCCCTTACCTACATTCCTTAGACATTGTACAGTCAGTGCAAAGCCTTTTGTTCGAGGGAGTAGGTGATACTTTAGTTTAGGTAAGCCTTTGGCTTCAGCTACCTGCATGCTGATCTTGTGTTTTTTCTCAGTAAATCGTGTTCCTTCACAGTGTATCAGAAACTGCAAGTCAGAGAAGATATCAAAGGCAGTATGAAGTCATTTAAGGCTCAACATTCCTATAGAAGCATCTGTTGAAAACTATGCGGATCATCTTTTGCCCCACAAACTGACTGCAAAATCAGGCACTGCATTCATTTTCTTTTTACAGAAAGAAAATTAACCAGTGTTTCACTTCCAATGCTGTAACTTTCAAGTGCTCTCATACAAAGTACAAGATTAACACACCATTTAGGCAGTAAAGTGAAGCATTAAGATCAGCCATAAATTTGAGAATATTGCATTAAAGGAAATAACTGGAGTGCATCCATTCAACCTTCATTGATAGTAAAGAGCCTTTTAAAAAAAAAAGCGCACTGTAGCTGCAGCATTTGCTCTGGACAGCCCTTTCATACAGATAGATATATATAAAAGAATAACACTGCAGCAGCTGAAATTTTATGAATAATAAAAGAAAGAATTGCATATGCTGGGAGTTATGAAAAAAGTCAGAAATTGCAGGAGAAATTCAGTGGGTCTGGCAGCATCAGGAGAAGAGCAGATAATCAAATTTCCTCCCAAGAACCACGTTAGCAATTTACTATCTTAAATGCTGCTGGCAGCCTCTGATTTAAGTATCTGCTAGGGTTTTTCAGGCTTTAGTGAGAAAGGACGAGGCAGTGGCATCCACAATGGAGAGGCACAGGCTGAGGCCATAGCTGAGAACAAGGGCTTCCAGCTGACTTCCTCTAATCTTCCCCATTAAGATGTGCCTTACACTGATGCACAACAAGCAGGTTTCACATTAAAACTAGACCTACAATTTGACACCAACGCACAATGATCAAAAGCTTGCAAGGTCAGATAGGTAGGTAGTCAGGAGCAGCTTGAAAAAAAAAAAGAGTGGGGTAAAGAGGTAGCGTACTGTACTGTAGTTCAGTTTAATTCAAGGAGGAACTGCAGCACTTGAGGGCTGAGGCATGGGGAGGTGTGGGGGTCGGGATGGTGGGAAGCACACGAGAGCAAAGT